CATATTAAAAGGAAGTAATTTATAAGGTTGGTCATTCATTATAACTGAAATACAGCAAACCAAAACGGCTACTTTCCGACAGTAAACATATTATAAGATCGAGATACTAGCTACATGGATTTTTGGTCATTTAAAGTTAGATACAGGACTTAAACCTATGAACTCTTTGACAAAGGAAATCTCGATGTGAAAACTTGCGTGTATCTAATTTGTGTCTCTGTCTGACGTGTGACCTTTTGACCGCTTACTTACCACTTCCTAACGGTGAAATTGTCCGGTCCAAATCCCTGTCACCACAACAGACATTTGCATGATTTCTTGATACAATGACAGTCTTGGCGAGCGTGCCTACCCAGCAGACGACTCAAAAGCGTAGCCAGAAGGAAGTCTAAGGACCAATTACCACATCCCTCCAGCCTGGCACTGTCTGCCACACTGAACACACACTGTGCCAAGACTCACAAAATCAAGAACAACTTTGAGGCTCCCAGCGCAGATGATAATTTTCCAGGCAATTAAGATGAGTTGTGCTTAGGAGGCGGGGTCAGTGTGGGCTCATGGGAAATGATGTGATAAAAACCAGCGCGGCACAAGCAAAAATGCTGCCAGTCAGCTGTCTTACAAGCCTGGGGTAATTGACCCAGCTTTGAGACAGATCACTGATACCAAAGAGCCATCATCAGCGCCTTCACAATGGGACAGTCTGTGTGTCTGTGTGTGTGTGTGTGTGTTTGAGTCTGTGGTTGTGAGTGTTCTAAACCTCTGACAGAGAAATGCAGATACAACCCAGTACCAGGGAAACTAATTTGAACTTGATCATTTTGTAATAACCAACAGTCTTTTAAGCGTTCGCCAAAACTTCTCGGCTCAGATTTTGCTATTGTGTCTAATGGAAGAATGAAAACTTTGGGCTGTGTTGACGCTTTAGTTAAAGACGACAAAATAAAAAGATCTTGCTCGCATTCACCCCGTTTCCTTTATCAGCAGGACGGGAAATTACAAGGCTAATGGCTGTTGCGACATGAAATACATCTGGTCCAAAATATGTTTGGTTTGCTGTGACTTCTAACAAAGCGGAGTGTGAATGGAACAAGACTGAAAACACATGTAGTCCCAGCTTTTGGAATGATTTAGATCATAAAGTGCTAATTGTGGAAGCATTTGTGACACATTATCGTTCTAGGTGTTTATATATTTCATGTTGTTGATTGATTGGATTTATTTCAAGGTTATAAACAGGAATCAATTATAGAATTTACAGCAATTACATATTATACATGATAGAAACACACATACGTACATTCATTCATACATTTAAATGTTTCCTTCTTTCACTCTTGTCAAAGAGGTAGGAAGAAGTCATAAGCTCCCACTTCCTATACTTTAATGCATCTAATACGGTTGCACATACCCGCACACACACATACATATACATTCAGACATAACCATACATATGCACACACACATACAAATGTATTACGTTATTCACACAACCCTTCAGAAACCATAGTATTCAAAATACGGGATAAACTGACTTTATAAAATGGGTGAATTTGCCAACACAGATCAGAGAATCAAACAGTTCAAACACAAGAAATGCAATGATTAAATAAAACACACAGAGCCATAAGGTCCATGAGTTAAATGATGAAAATGCTACTTTGCGAATTTTATTAGAAAGTAACTCTCGCAATGAACGTGCAGACATTTGATTTTGATTGTGGCACAGAATTCTGTACATGGCTCTGATGTAGCTGGTGAGAAAGTATTTGTCATTCAGCCAACTTCAGATCCATCAAATGAGAATCAATATGGACACAACCCACATCCAGTCCAAAACTTTTTTTACAATCTGGTTTGTCAGACCCTGGACAGGACTGATTAACTAAAGTGGCCCTAAATAAAGATGACGTAATGATTCAATTTAATCGTTTGGATTATTTTTTTTAAGCAAATGTGTAGCACAAACACACAAACTGCCCGACAATAACATTCACTGCCCATATATGGACTAAAGCAGCTTTTTGCAAATAAAATGTAAAAAGTTAATTTTGTCTCAGGTTTAAAACTTAGAAATGTTATTTTAATCAGACAATTTTTTTAGCTTTTTCTAACCTTGTTTTATTTACTGTATGTACTTGTTTTGTGCACACCGGGAACTTTTGCGAATGTATTTCAATGTGGTTTTACTGCAAATGGGAAATAAACAAATCTGAATCTGAAAATGTATTGTCAATGTGATAAGCAGTACTGGCTTCTTCACATTTTTGTCTTACTCAAAAAATAACAAAAACCTTCAAAGCAGCTTTTTAAGCAAGCAAAGGCTAAATATTTCCATCATTCCAAAACAGGGCACCTTGCTTTTAACTCCCGCATACCCACGCCAACTCATTTCAAAATAAAACAGTGAGAATAATTCTTCTATGTGATGTCATCTGGAGGACAGTGCTACAGGTGACACCCAGATAAAAGTCTCCCAGTGCGTTTTTGCATAGCCGAACAGCAAAAAGAATAAAACGCACATAATTTAGGAAGCTTTGTCTTGAGATTAAAACTCCAAATTGCACATAATGAAAGCGCTGAAAACGTCCTTAGAGAGAGAGAGAGAGAGAGAGAGACGACTCGCGTTGAAGTCAATTTGCAGCTTGGTAAGCAAAGAGAATGCGTTTTTACGAGAGCGCCGCGGGTTATCACGAGTTCAGGAGCATTCAAATATGCGAATCCACCCAACGTTTTGCCTTAGAAGCAACTCCGTGAAGCATCCCTACTCAATCCTTCTGAGAATTGCCCTGTATGGACTCTTTACTTCCTCTCGCTGTAGGTAAAAGGGGAAAAGCCCGGCCATCATGCAATCGTCGTTTCTTTCAGCTTGTTTTCATAACCCCACATCCCTTCACTTATGTCCATTGGTAAATAATTCAACGGCACAAATCGCATTAATGGCGCGATCCATCTCTCGTCGATAAGAGGGGCAGAGTGGTTATATATGAGCGTCATGGCAACAAGGGAAAATAAAGAGGGTTTTTACAAACGCACACTTGAATGGCAGATTTCCATCATGCATAGTCTGCAATCTAAAACTCTAAAGGCTGGAGCACTATTTCAGGCCAGGGATAAATGCACCAATTAGGCCTATACTGAGCGCAAACTTTCCCCTTTGTGTTGTCCAGTTAATGTGTGTCTTTTGTACGAATTGAAAGCTAAAAGTGTCAAGGCACATTTACAATCAAAAGTGAGTTTGATTTCTTCCAAAGGGCAGGGCGAACTGAAAGTATTCATGGTCACTTGTGAAAGTGGTTGGGGCGAACATGCAAAAAACAGATGAGTGACATTTGAAAAGTATTTGAAAAGCTCACAGATTGCCCTTTGTCCAGTCGTTTTTTGAAATTTTATTTTTATATTTGTGAAATTCTTCAGCAACTCTGGGATCACCGTGGTTTCTTCAGACTTAAATCTGGTTCTGATTACACATAAATGTCAAAACTATTGTTATCTACTGGCTTTATCTGAACAATTTAACCAAAGAAAACCTAACCACAAATAAAACTGCACATTTGGCGAAATGGTGAAAAAGCTATGATGTGAGGCCGAGTGGCACGTTTGAAGGGTGCCTGTCGGAGTAAAGGATCATCCATTAAGCGGCACGATGGTGGCCCCATGCTGAGCGGCAGGGTGGGCCTCAGGGTGCTGCTGTGGCGCCTCAGTACACCAGCCCAGCGAGTGTCTGCAGCTGTTTACATGTAGTTACTGCACAGAGGCGCGGAACAAAGCTGTGGTTATAGATCATCGACAAACATGCCGTACGGCCCCGAGCAAATGTCACTCACTAAGCTGTCACCTTACATTGTGTGCACCATGTGCACTTGTATATTGTAAATAGTAATTGTAACTCTATTTTAAATTTAAATGTATTCCTTAGAAGTGTTTTTTATTCTTTATTTTTATTATCTCTCTGACTGTTGCACTGAGCCAAAGCAATTTCCAAGTCTGTGACTTCCTGTTACCTACGTGGCAATAAAAAATATTCTGATCTGATTCTGATTCTAAACACCACGATGAGGAGCTTTGAATCGGAGGTGGCCGATTCCAGCAACCATGAACATCTATTCATGAGCATTTGCATGTAACAATATTCAGATAGTATTGTGGTAATCCATCAGAAGAGAGTCAATACTTTTTTATACACTCAATATTGATATTTGGCCAATATTCAAAACAATTGATGCAAAATGTACAAAATCTGGCCGAGACACTTCGTCAAATGTCTCTTGAGAAATTCTTTTGTGCAGTTTTTTTTCCTCCATACTCTTTGAATTCTACACTGACTGCACTGGCTGTTTGTGTGTTTTGAATACGATGAAAGCACTGCAGTGTCTGAAACAAAGTTCCTCATGGATAAGTCTATTGAAATCAGGAAGTCTCACTTCTCCAGAGACCACAGTCAGGCTGATTGATCTGAGGTGTCAAACCGGCGGCATCCGGTAACAACAGCTGATAAGAAACGCCACAGGCGTCACCTGACGACGGAGGAAGCATCCAGGTATTTGAGCTCACACATATTTAGCTCTAAGTTTCTGAGTAGAAGAAAACACTAAGTTTATTCACAAAGAAGACAGAATGAATTTGCTGAAAGGAGACGGTGTTATTTCCGTCTTTCACATCCTATCAGCCACCCTGACGGCATGATTTTCTTCTTTTGCTGCTTTTCCATTTTTGCTCAGGGAATACATAACCAGACTCAGTGATCCACCGAGCATGTGCGGCGGGCAGAGCATCAGCTGATTGGTGCTCGTCTAATTGACACAAGCATTTCCTTACATATATCTAATACATCGACACAACAGGTTTCTTTGTGAAGTTGTTAAAAAACAACCACAAAAAAAAAATATATATATATATATATTTCTCTTGTGTCTTCAGACTGCATCAAGAATAGGAATGAATAAGAATAACACAGATGAGTACAAATTACATTTATTTACACATTTACAATTACAGCCTCATGCTGTAGTTTCATGGAACAGATCGAGATCCTCGGGGAAAAAGAGCAACTCTGGAACCTGCAAAAAGAGAACATTTTACACTGTTGGTAAATGGAAATCTAACATGTCAAAGTATGTCGCTGTACATTGTGGTGAAGCAACTCTCAGCTGTCAAGAATGGATTTATTTTCAAGCTCGGGCAAAATGACCAAACAATGATATCACAAGGAAATAATAGAATAATGATAACATTCATTATAGCCCTGTGAATTTGACCAAAGCTCAAGTGTTGCCCCTGGAGACCCTCTTCATAAAGATGTTTGATTAAAAATACTGTGTAAACACATTTCAAATAGAGTCATAAAACCTCAGCATGTTTAAGTCTCTGAGGTTCAAGAAACCACAACATTGATGACTAAATTCAACTATCTCAATAATCAATTCACTTGTTACAGCACATTTACGACAAGCCCAAAGTGCTTTGTTTTAATGCCTTAAAATTGGTTCGAACATCCGCAATGATTTAAAGACCCCGTGTCAAAGTAATAACTGAAGAAGAAAAAAAGACAGGCACAGACTTCCGCAAAGAAGAACCCAATATCCACACGATAATCCTAGCTTACATCACAAATGTAATCTTTTGATCTTTTCCGAGAATTCCTGAAAATCTCATAAAAATACGCTCATAACAAACAGGCAGCCACTCAAACCCTGGTGACTACATTACCCCTGGTGGTGGTATTCAACATTTCATACATGACACTGGATTGATAATAAATACCTTAAATAGGGGGCTCTCCTGTGCGTCAGAAGGACTCTCCGACGTCTGCTCTAAAGGAACAAGACATTGTACAGTAAGATGTGTGTCCTCTTGTGGCTCCTCCAGCTTCTGCACAAAAACACATTTACATTGTTTACATTAGTACATTCATTTATAGGATTTGAGAAAAAATATGGATGGAGCAGCAGCAGCAAAAGGATGACTTTATTAATCCCTCTCACGCCATGTTTTTTGTGTGGAGGCTTCAAAGTCCTGACTGTTTAACTGTAAACATTGCACTTTCCAGTACAAACCACCACAATGAGAAAATAAATTACTAAAACAGACTACATCCTGAACAACTTACCAATGATGAGTGATGGGAAAATAAACGTAAAATTGTATTTGGGGTCAGAATACTAAATATACCTTTAAATGCATGTTACTTAATACTTGAATAGGTTTTTCACAATGTCCCTTTAAAGGAGCAGTATGTAAAAATCTGGCCAAAAGTGGTACTGCATTCACAGTCAATATGTTGTAGTCCTCTCCCACTCTCCCTGACTCAGGTTGCCAGATACACACCAAATCCAGCAGCAAACACAGGGAGTTATTTTATCAGTTGTTTGTCTGTCTCCATTCACATTGCCATGAGGCGTGCTAATGCTGAATGAATGTTTTGAATTAAATGTATTTATTATTATTATTTTTTTGGACATTTGAGATGAGAAAAACAAAATAAAAGCAATTTAATTATGCATAGATTATGCAAAATAAATAAGCAATTGATGTCCAAAATACGAGTGGGAAGAATGGATGTTGGAACGTATTTCAACATCAGGTTTTCCTCCAGAGGATATCACCTTTCAATTTTATTTATTCCCTATTTTTTAGACATATATGTATTAGTCCCACATCAAAAAGAGACTAACATTATTTTAATTGGGGTACATGTGGTCTCAAATTATTCTTTTTACAAATAAACTATCATCTGCAAAAAACGTCTTAATTATTGTCTTTTACCTGATCTTGAGCAATCTGTCATAAAATATAATATTATGAAAGTAGACACAACCCGGACTCGAACCCGGGTCGCCGGAACATAAGCTCTGCGCCTAAACCAGAGGGAAACCGAGTCAATCCGACAAGTTTTGGATCTCACAAAAACTTTTATCCGCTGTCTCAACCTTTCTAAGGCGTCCCGATATAAATCCTCGTTTTAGTCTTTGTTTTGTCATTAATGATTTGAGAGTCATATTAAGACCTTTTTTAGTTCTGCGACCAAATGTTATTTTACCAGTGAGATTAGCCGCGAGGAGTTCTGGCAACACGGATCACTCACTTCCTGATTGGCGAAACAGCGGCGGGTGGGACATCAAATGAAAACAATAACAACTTTTTCGGGTCGTAAAACAAAATTTGATATTCAAATATCTCGGCTGAACTACTGTTATCAGTTAAAGATGTATTCGAAAAGAGTATGATTTAGTAACGCCTTTTGAAATATTGAGGCCATTTAATGATGACTTGACATGCAAATATTACATACTGCTACATTAAGAGAGAAATGTTGCCGTTATTCATAAGGAAAAACATGGAGGAAAGTACTATTGAAGAGAAGCCTGTTGCTGAGTTTGTGTGTTTCAGTTCCTGTGTCCTCTGCCGCAGTCGTGTGGCAGCCGCTGCTCCTCACTGCACGCGCTCAGACCAAAGGAAAAACAACAACTGTACATCCAGCTTCATGAGTTCCATCACTGGCTCCTGTTTTGATCCCAGTTTTAAAATGGAGACTTTATAATGTTTTATAATTCTGCTTTTGTTCAAGATCAACATTAACTTAAAAACAACTTGTATTTTGTTGTGTCAGCTCTCATAACCTACCTGAACCTCTTCTATTGTCTCCTCCAACGGCTCCTGCTGCGTCTGTGCACAAAATAAAACAATTTGTGTTATTTTGCCAAATAATACAGGGTTGACCCAGGTTGGATCAGGTTGAATGGAAGTCCTTCTTAATGCTGTTTTATGAAATGTAAAATGGGTAAGAAAGAAAGAAAATCTAGGACTGTGAGGATAGGACTTATATATTCCCCCTAAAAAAACATAAATGGAAACAATCTCTTTAATCTATCTCCCAATAATGGCCACATTTACAGGTTTGAATGCCTGGTTTGAATCGAAGCATTTCTACAAGGATTAGTACAAATTTACTCATAACCTGATAATCTTTAGACTTATGTTGCAAACCAACAAACAGGCAGAAAATGAAACCCTGGTGCTTAAATTACCCTGTGATATTTCTCATTTCATACATGCCACTGGATAGAAAATACGTACCGTACATATGTGGTTTTCCTTTGCTTCAGAAGGACTCTCCTCAGACGTTTGCTCTAAATGGACAAGAAGACTTTGTACAGTAAGTTGCGTCTCCTCTTGTGTCTCCTCCAGGTTCTGCACAACAACACATTTACATTGTTGGTAAAACATTCATGTATAGGATTTGACAACATTGATGGATTCAGTACTCGACCAACCTCATCCTCTATTGGGATTTGGAAAGCGGCGAAGTCAGTATCAACACTTTCCTTTACGCAATTCTGGATAAAATGAAAGACAGTTGAAAGAGTATGATCTGTCTAAGTTTGTATAACTGAGGTGGTGTTTACACAGAGACGCTGCGACTGTAAAACGTTAGAGTTGGTTATCGGTTTGGCCTTTCGTTTACATGAAGACAGTGTTTCAGGGGGGTGAAAATGCAAGCATTGAGAAACAGTCTCCAGAGAGCAACAGAAAAGATACACTGCTCGGCTGGGGGCTGTTTCATGGCAACCTGAAGAAAAAGTTGTGAATTCTCTGCCTGCTATGAGGCGGATCAACGTGATCTACATGCGTTCTAAACGGGGTCCGACCATGTACAGTACTTTCTGCAAATGAGCCGCACCAGCAACATTTTAAAATAAAGTACATTTTGACAACTACTTCTCATGTTGTAGAGTAGTACTTAGCTTACTGACAAACAAAGCAGATAGACGGTCTAAATGTTAGCTTCCCTGACTCATTAACCAATCTATTTTGAAAACACAAATGTGTGTCCTATAGCTACTAAAAGTTAAACTGGAACAAAATGACTCCATAAACTCTGCTCTGAAAACTGCCCTTTACTACTACTACTACTACTTACACAAATAAAACATATACATTGGCCATATTACTATATTATAAACAGCAGTGGTCAAAGTAGCAGCCCATAGTCCGGCAACTCCAGTACCTGCTCTTTTTCCAAGGTCAATCCCAGTTTCACAAAGCACTTTCTGCTTGCTTTTCCAGAAAGAATAAGCTGCTTCTCTCTTCGCAGTTTAAGAGCACGACTTCTCTTGTAACCTTTCAAGCGCGGCATCTGAATGAAAACAAAAGTTAAACACAGTCCGATCATTTGGTCATCACATAATAACTTGTGTAGTGCCTTTGTACCTTGACACTTTGGGTTTTGAAGACTATTTCAATAAATGTTGCAGTGACGTCTTCAGACAGATGAAATACTGACAGAAACCGGAACGTCCTGGAGAAAATGTAAGGTAATGTGATGTTTGAATTCATGTTTTATGCTCTTTTATGCTCTAGTTTCATATCCAGTTTAGGCTTGTTTGTTTGTGTGGTTTAAATACATAGTGATGTGTTAATACTTTTCATTGTCTTCATGAAATTATGTCTGCATTTTAGGCTAGGGTACAGCAAAAACACATTTACTCACACTATATGTCCTGGTATAATCCAGAAGTTCCCAAACCTTTTAGTAAGAGGGCCACTTTAGTTCACCAAAGTTGTCCAGGGATCAACAATGATTATTGTTTGGTAGATTCTGGGTGTTCTGCTTTGTAATGAGGTATGACATGTCTATATTGGGTCACGTTTGGCAGAGCTGAAGTTGGCTAAATTACATATGTTTACTCTCCAGCTAGATTAATGTCACAACATCAAAAAGAAATGTCCGTATAGTCCAGTGCCTCTTGATTTTTTTCTGTGCCTTAGGAAAAAATAAAATAATTTTCCCCACTTCTTGAAAAGTACTCGTATAGTCAAACAATGTAAGAGACTGGATTCCAGCGATCCTAATGTTCATAAAGAGGTATAATGTGCCTAAGTTGAGCTGAAGATGGCTGGTTGACACTGTGAAATCCTTCTTATGATACTATTCGGACTTTCCTGGTATAAGCAATTTACTAGCCATTTATTGGGTCTGGAACACAACCCATTAATAACTGGACTTGTAATAATGATAATAACTAGATTGCCTGTTCCTAAATAAATATTTAATAAAATGTAGAGAAGCCAGACTGCTGCATATAAAGTGACCACACTACTTACACACAGTATGTATTATTAGTTATTGACTTTTTTATAACAATGTGTATTAACTACTTCTTACAATTGCTCATAGGTAAGAGCCACCCTACAACTTCAAACAATTCATAAATAATTGTAATTAATTGGCGGAATCCGATCCGTATATGAAGGTGAAATAAAGCAGATGATTTGAACACGTGTAAGCTAGATAACAAAGCCAACACACACAAAAACATTCTAATGCCGACATTAGCTTAGCATGCTAGCATCACAATGAACGCGCACTCACCAACGGCTTAATCAGAGCGCAACGTCACCAACGGACTGCCAGCGGCTCAGTGGACAAAGCACGGCACACAAACAAGACCTGAAAAGTTAAAAACACGTAACACAGGGGAAATATGTGACTGCTTGTTTGTAAACAAAGCCAGGCAAAGACTTCCTGTTCGCGGCCGACGGGACAACAGAAAAGGAGCCTCATTGGTCGACTCGCCGCTCCGGGTGTGTGATTGGCTCAGACTGCACACGTGACTGACCCGGAGGTACACAAAGGGAAATTTAACTTTGAAGAGCTATTATGGACATGTCCTGTTTTATGTATTTATATATATGCCTGTTTGTCTTAAAAAGAAGAAGTTTTATTTTTCTTTATTACTACTACTATGTTATTATTATTTTTTCAAGTGACAACATATTTAGACCATAGACTGGAAATATTTAGACTCTTTTCCCCTCTAGCTTCTGTTTTTACGATGCATAATAAAAAGTAAAATAATAAAACAAAAAGTAGATACATACATACAAACATAAAACACATTACATTTCAAAATAATTAATATAAAATCAAAGATGATGTATATACCTTTCTACCAATATCTTTTTGAAATGCAATAAAACACAAATGTTCTGGAACTATTTGCAAAGATGTATTAAAATGAAAATACATCTTGCAAGTGACAGAACATTTAGAATTCCTTTGCAAAACAAAATCTCTGAACTCTCTGGTCTATGTTCTCCCGCAGTCAGTGTGAACATTGTTATTCACCATATTCCACACCCTGGCAGCCCCCACATCTATTGCTTTCAACAATAGTTCTAGCTGGACTGTGCACTGCAACTTTTGTTGAGCTTTCTGAACCCTGTGGCCTCTATAGTGAGAAAGAGAGGTAAAATCACAGGACTCATCTATTTTTTATTTATCTATTTAGCCTGTCCTGCAACTACTGTATTAGCATTGCTTTGTGATGATTTAAAACAAAAATGCATATCATGCTTTTGGCTTTACTCCATCAGGTTGTCTCCTAAAATATTTGGGAGAAATCTTGTTTTGACTAGTCGTTGGACCCATCTATAATCTATTTTCACTTTTGTGTTACCAATTTTATTGCAAATGTGGGCAGTCATATCATTTGCATTGGCAGACTAAATACAACCATAGCTGCAGCCATCAGTGGACATAAAAAGCATGAATAATCAGAGTTGGTCCACTGCATAAATGTTATTGCCCAATCTGCTGCAACCAAATGCTACAATCATTAAAACAGCAAAAGATTAAAACATTCATACATTGCTTAGATGAGGAAGCCAATTTGTGGATGAACAATTCCTGATGTGATCATTATGTGTGAGCAAACTTTCAAAAATAGTCCTGGCTTAAGAGAAAAATGGGATTGGAATGATTTCAAGGCAGAGTAAGTGGGCTGGTGTTAGAGAGGGTGTTAATCGCACTATAGAAGAAACACTCACACAACAGAGGAGAGGTCAAAACACTCTACATTGTTAACTGGCTTTTACATGCAAGTATGAGTAGCCAAACTTCCATGCAAAAGCCAGATCCCATCAGACTTCTGAAGCTGTGTGGTCAGCACTGTGATGGGAGACCTCTGGGATCACCAGGTGCCACAGTGGGTAGCTAACGGTTGTAAAGTGCCAAACTGTTGTGTCCTCAGGCAAGACACTTCACCCACATTGCCTAGAATGAGTCTGGTGTGTGTGTGAAGGGTTGGTGGTGGTTGGAGGAGCCGCTGGCACATACTGGTTGCTTCGCTTCAGTCAGTGTGCCCCAGGGCAACTGCGGCTACAGTAGCAGTTTATCATCACACCGTGTATGGAGTGAAAGAATGATGACATTTTAAAGGTCCTGCACTTGTATTGAAACTGTTGTTGTTGAATGATTTCACAGTAGCATTTTGTTTGTTTTATTCCTACACTTTTAGATTTTTTTCACGCCTGTACTTTTTTCCAATGTGGTTTTATGGCAAATAAAATGAATCAGCTCTGAATCTGATCTCTTCCTACGGGTAAAAACTTTCAAACACAACAGTACATCGAGGACGGTGCAGCTGTGGTGGTGTCTGTACTTATGCATAGTGAATTAAATATATTGCGTTTATATGGTGAAAATAGCGGTCTTCTTTTTGATGAAGGGAAGTGGGCGTGGGACGGCGGCAAACGGCTGTGAGGGGGATCTCTAGTTACGCTAAAATATTCTGAACGCTCCATTCTTCAAACAAACCGGCTCCTTTGATCACGATGAGGTCCTTGGAATTACAACAATAGTTCTTTATGCCACAGAGAGGTTGTGCCAACTCGAACTCTAACAGTGTATCATGTAAATGGAATGCAATTATATGCAAATATTACTGCACAATATTGAAGGTTTATTATGTGAAGCAAACCCGGTTCATTACTCTAACGTGGATTGTCTTCATGGTTGGAAATGATTGTTTCTGAACATATTGGAGAATGGCATGTTGTACGCTGCAAGAAGTGATGAAAAAAATAAAAAAAGCTCAAATTTGGCAAAAATTTACTTACTTAATTTGAGCATAAATTGACTCCTTTAAAACAAGATTAGACAATGGGAAAAGGATCATTTTAGTCAGTTTTGTTTGCAAATCTTGTTTTAAGACATTCAGAATGTTTAAGATAAAACCACTGTATTTCAAACAGTTTTTTTTTTTTTTTACACAATATGAGGTAATAATTGTTTGAACATGTGAGTGGTTTTACAGTACATTCTGATCGTCTTAAAAAAAGATATGCCAATGGGACAATTCAGTGTCATTTCAAGAACTGTTGCATTACTTTCTAATTCCAAGGGAGACATTTTTCACATCTTTTTAAAATAAGATAATTTTGCTTGTCCCATTGGCAAATCTTGTTTTATGGCTTGTTTTATAGTCGGAATGTGCTGTTTGCCAAATTTGAGACAATACCGTCACTTTTTACAGTGTAGCGTGTGAATCGTCTCTACGGTTGCAAACAAACAAACATTTCTGAACAAATTGGAGCAATGCATGTTGTATGGACTTAAGGCTTGGTATCCCATTGGGAATCTTGCACACATTTTTATCCCAAGGAGAAAATCAGCTTGCATTCCTATAAAAGACCATACAAAAGACTGCACTGGTTTGCATTCGTGGCTTTATCTCGCCAAGACCAGACCCCAGTGCATCATGGGAGGCTGCAGTTAGATCTATGGCGTCGCAGGGACTGTGGGGAGTCGGTATCTGTGCACATCTCCAGGTCATTCACCAGGGTGGGCGCCTTCATTAGTCTTCCGTGCAACAATACGCTCTGATTGCCATCTTGTTTCGCAGTGATTTATAATTCCAGCCCCACGGAGTTTGCAGAAATACCTAAAGCAACTGCTCAAATAAGATAAGGAGCTTTTCTGAATGTACATCTGAGATTGGAAAAAAAGGGGGGGGGGGGGGAAACCAATACAGATGAACTGGGAGAATAGCAAAATAGAGTCATTTGTGAGGTGTCTGGTCGGTCTACTTCACTTTAACTGGAACAATTCTGGTTCACTGGGATCAAAAATGCTTGATTTGTGAAGTTTTAAAACAACCAAAACAAGTGAACACTGGTTCTGTTGTTACGTGAGCCTTCAGGTAACACTTGTGATTTCATGAGGACTGTTATAAGAATAGTTGACAATTGATCTACGAATAACAGGCATGGCAAACTCTGGCCTGTAGACCAAATCCAGCTTGCAAGACCATTTTTAGGGGCCCCTGAAATGATTTTCAAATAACATTATCACAGTAACTTGCAGCATTGATGGTAATGATATACCATGGCATGTTATACTTCATTTTAAAGCGTATTTTCTCAGGAAACCATATAATTTAATATGTTCTCAAATGTAATGTTAACTCTACTCAATTATTCATTTAGTAGCTATCAATATTCCAATACATATCATTCTTGATATTTGGCCCAGTTGTGGTTCAAACATTCCCGAAGTATATGATTACATCTGGGCGACTGTTTGGAATGGCCAGCCTTTCATAGCGTTTGTCTTCTAACTTTGGAGATGCCATTATACCTCTGTGGGCAAGAAGTACTTTTAGAAAGAAATGTTGAAGAACAAGGGGCGACAGTGGCTTAGTTGGTAGAGCATTGGCCTTTGGGCCTGAAATTTGTGGGTTCGAGCCCACCATAAGACCTACTTCACGACTCCCACTGATGACTGCTGTTGTTGTGTCCTTGGGCAAGACACTTAACCCCACTTTGCCGTAGGCCCCCACTGAAAGAACAAGGCTTCTGTGGACTCACCACCTGCAGGAGGATCCCCCCCCCCCCGACCCAGAAATGGATTAAGGGGAAGAAAATGGATGGATGGATGTTGAGAAATAAAATTCACAAATGTTTGCCCAGATGTTTATTTGACAGTGATTTTATTCACAAACCCGTCATATTGTTCTTATGGCTGGGAGTCCTTTCTGCTGGCCAACACCAAACATAAACAATAATTAGAACATTATTAGCCAAATTTGATTTGTACTGACAAATAAGATGTGGAACTTTGTGAGAGTTCTGTTTCATGTGGATTGGCCCAGGAGTTGCAGAAATGATCTCTAAACTAAGATTAGAAGTCTGGCTTTTGAGATGGCTTTGTCACCATGGATACCAGGAAAGATTTTTCAGCTGCTCTCCAGCACAATTTTCATACTTAGTCTTGTAGTCTTAGAGACATTTAGAGACCTTATGCGACCCTAAGAGAACTTTGATTTGGACTAAAGAGATAGAGTCAAAAAGAATTAACAAAAAGTCTTTTAAGTTTTGTTAAGTTTATCTGCTTTTAAAAATTTCTCCCATAAAACTTAAAAGGCCATACATTCCTTTCCCCTTCTCAGAGCCAAGTTTAGGGTTGCAACAAGTCTCTTTGGAATGTTGTGATGTCACATGAACACAAACTAAACTCAATATACACTAGTTTGTATTTGGATCAGAATTCTGTCCATTGTGGTCATGGTAAAAATAAAATACTTTGGGTTTTCCTACACCCCCCTGAGGCTCAGAAATGTCCAAAATCCAAGTTTGGCAAGTTCCATGTTTCTGCTTTTATCTCTGTACTGTAGGTCTTTGGTAGAGGCAAGGCAAGGCAAGTTTATTTGAGAAGCCTGTCTCACATTTTCAGGAAGATTTTTCCAGATTTTAGCAGCATGAATTTGAAATGCAGCCTCTACATGTTTCGTTATGACTCTGGGCCCTATTATTTTCCAAGGATCTGCCTCTCCACTCATTTTCATTCAAAGCTGTCTTTATAAGTCAAGCAAAAAAGTCAAAAATAAACAAATATTTCAACAAGCATTTACAGATGGGTTTCCTATACCTCCAGAGGCTTGTTGTCGCTAACTTCAGGGACAAACATCGGCTGCAAATGAAAGAGACACTTGTCAGGTTTCATTTGGTTTAACGCCTGATGTTACGGCACCTTAAAAGAACGACTGTGCATCGAGGAGAATAAAGAAAATCTGGAGACAAAAGGCGCTCAACGTGGCACTTCTGTCGTCTCAGAGGGAGAAATCATGTCTGCTTTATCACAATAGCATTTTCATAACGCCGTACAGCTCTTCAGATAACCACAATGGGCGGTGATGGGAGAGAGGGAGCCGTGTGGCGAACATAAATAGACCTTAAAGCAGAACAATCAAGACCGAAATAGGGATCATTGTTGCTGAGGTGCTGAAGTGTTAATTGGCTTCAACGAAATATCTTTAGACTCACTTTTCTCAATTGAAATTGTTCATCTTTCACTGTATGTCACCTCGAATAATGCA